CAATCCGTCAGGATCTTGGCCAAATCTTTAACTATGTATTTAGCAGAGTTATGAGCCTGTAATCTAATTCTCGCCCACCATCCTTGGCCTTTTTCAACGGCGTGATCACATTCCTGGTGATCCGATGGGGGATGGATTCCTGCCGGAACCAGTTGTTGAACACGACAGTCAAAATCGGCACAAAGATGTGCAGCAGCCTCAGGTAAAATTCATAGGGTAAACCAATCAAGTCCCGAAGACATGCCTTTGCCGACCCTCTTCAATTCCAAGTAGGATTTACCCTCTGTGATCTCATCCTCACAGCTAGCCGCTTCAGTCAGCGAAAGCCGAGGAAAGTCAGCTACGAAAGAGATCAAGCTCTTTAGTAAACCGGCTTTCGAAATGCCACCGAAACGCCTCGCACATGTCGGCAGTCGACATCAGAGTACGACCCGCCGGAATTTTGCCCTCACGAATGTATCGATCGGAACCTCGACGGATCTCTTCCTTGCGCAATTCTGTGCCCATGTTCACAACTTCATTAGACATCTTGTTTAACCTATACCTAACTACCTGACCCTGTTAATGCCAGTCGCGCGCTCCAAAGCCTACCTAGCTAAACCTATCTCTAGGGTGTCCCCCCAGTCTCCACCCGGGACAGACTATACTTGAGAGCCTTCAACGTTTTGGCCTTATCTAGTGCGAGCCGCTGGCTATATTCGGTGGTGAATGACCTAATGCTATCCTTAAGCTTCTCCCACCACCTACTCCCAATAACCGCCCCACTAATTCTCGCTGCACTAGTCTAATTAGCTGTTGCTGGAAGTCCCGGCTTCCAGTAAATACAGACTGAATTTCCAGTGTCCAGCCATTTTAGATTAGCATCCAACGCCATCCAGGCACAGACGAGTCTATGGTCCTAATAGCTTAACCAGTGGAACGTGGGACAATCTAAAAAGTCTGTATGAGCCATCCTCACTGACATTCTATCCAGATAGCTGGCTACCCGGGTAGACAGCCTACGTCCACATCACCCGTTCAAAGTAATCGACTTGGTATCTATCAGATAGACCAGCTACGATTGCTCGATGACCTCCTGTTAGCTCTCAGCTCCTTGTCTATCTTAGGGTCCAGGGTAGCATTCCAGTCCCCAACTAAGACTAAGCGCGAAGAATCAACCAGGAACGGCTCTAACTGACGGAAAAACGAAAAATACACTCCTTGATCGTTGGGCGCATAAACCGCAACGACCTGAAACGAGCTACTGTTCACAGCAATATCGGCCATGATCAACCCCCACCCCACATCGACATAGACTTGGTCTACCCTCGCATACAAGGTAGTTTAACCAGCAAGGAAACACCTCTGACCCTCTGGTCCCCGTATGCTGAATAAACGACATAGCCGCTAGACAGTACACGAGCATCAACCTCGCAAACAAACTGTGTTTCCTCGATCGCAGCCACATCTACACCGAAGAACAGGATATCACAAAGCAGGCGGGCAGCCTTACTCAGAGCCCTCAAGCCCTTCGAATTCAAACTCCCTATTTTTCAAGTTGATTCCCTTAGTCACAGACTGGACGGAAATCTGCGGATGAAATGACCTCGACGGATTGTCTCAGTCTCCCTGTCCCCCATCTCTGTCGTCATGCCAACATTCAGGACAATGCTGCCGACGTCTGTGGGATAAGTGAGTTTTAGGGTCCTATATAATGAAGGATGGAGGATAACTTGAATCCTCCCTGCATAATATTTTTGCAATTTCTTTAAATCCAAAGTCCCCATTTCAACCATCTGGATCTCCGAAAGTCGTCCCTCATCTTATAAAGGTAATTCTATATTTTTAAATTAAATCCCTCCCTGTGTTACGTATCCACGTAATCACCCTGCAGCCTTCGGAAAATTCCGAGGGTCTTCTAGTGAGCACCTGTCTACTGAAGAAGTTTTATATAATGGTCTTCTTTTGCGATAAGTTCGTTTCAAAGCCTGCCTGTCTATTTGACAAGACTTGTAACCCTCCACCCCCCGCCTCTACGATACTGCTTTTTATGGGAAAGAGCTATGGTGAGGGGTGCTGAGCAGTGGGGTGTTGAGAAGGGGAGTGCTGGGAGGAGAGGAGTTGTCATTGGTTGCAGTAGTGTTTGGAGTGGATATGTTGGGAGGAAGGTTGTTGTTAAGGAGGGACGGCGGTGCTTTCAGAGGGGAAGAAAAGAGTCTCCATGATTTAACTTGTTCTTGCTTTTTGGTTGGCGAAGCTAGGACTGATTGAGATTTGTTTTTCACTATGTCCTTCTCCGCCGCTTTTTAGACCCTACTTCGGCCAGCCAGTTTCTCTTTTTAGAATTTTTTCCTTCTTTTTCTTCTTCTTCTCTAACTTTTTCAAAGATGAGAACCAAGGTGGGGTCATCTTCTCTATTTCCATCTTTCCGCTATGTTGTTGCTCTGTATGTAGGTCCCCCTGTCGCCCCGCTTGTTGCTGCATCTACTGGCCCTCCTGCTCCAGTTGGGGATTGTTATTATTAAACTTTAGATGTTTAGCTGCTGCTTCTGCTGCTGCTGGAGAGTGGTGGCCACTTTTCTGCCCTTTTTCACCACTTCCGTCCACGCTCCTGATTCTTTGACGTCTTCTGTGAGTCGGAGCTATGCCTCCCTTACTCCTAATGGGTGAGACCTCAGAGATCTCCCCAAAATGGGAAAAGGAAAAGCCCTGGTGGTCCTCAGATATAAACAGCGGTACTTTATGCAATGTGACCTTCAACTTCCTGGTTCCTAAATACTCTGTTTCGAGTCTTGCAACTTTGGTCGTCAGGATGCATCCCTCCAGCGATTTAGCTGCGTCTTTCGTGACTAACAGGATGTCCCACATGGCATTACTTCGTCTTGCTAAAATGACGAATATAGACAAAATGTGACACTTACCTTCAAACAATAGCTCCAACGACACTTAAAGTCAACTGACCAATCTCAAAAATCGTTCTCAAATGATTTTCTAAGCACAGCTTAGATGTGGCACAAGGCCGAAAGCATGGGGTACCCAGGGGGGGGGTATTGAACTCACTAGTCAGTCGTAATAGTTTTAGCGAGACAAACTTGCTAACCATTACACCACGTTGAGGTGCCCTAATCTACAACTTTTGTGTAGATTTCTAGGGTTTGTTGGAATTAATTGGCTTTAGGAAAAGCAAACATTTCTGATCTGAAAACTAATACTTGCAGAAAAAGTAATTGATTAATTTATAAAAAAAATATTGATTAATTTATAAAAAATATTTAAAGAATGTGGTCTTTACTATATTTATTGTTATATGGGATGTTAATCCCCCTCCCCCACATGGGCAACACTGGGCAGCTCTTCTATAAAACATAGAGTAGAGAAAACGGGATCAGCATGCTGAGTTCAAATTCCGGCTAAGGTTGTTGCGTTCACTTTCGCACAAACACTCGGATGAAAGGTATATTGGTTGGCAACCATTTTAGGATAAGAAAAACACTAACATTTGAGGTTTGTTCGGAAACGATGTGGTACACTGTGACTGTACACCATGTCTCTGTTATTCGTTCTTCCGAATATATTATTATTATTTAGAAACTTAATAATGTGCAGTTTCTCATGGAGGCACAAAGGGCATGGGTCATCCCAAGTTTTACATGTTCTAGTCCTGTTTATAATTTTCCATTTTACTTTAGGTGTCCTATTTATTTCCTTCAGTACTATATCATCGTACTATATCATCCACTGAGAGTCCTAGTACTAATATGATATACATTGAGTCCACGAAGAATGATTTTAAAGCCAGATGAAGGCAGCATAAGTGCTCTTTCAACAATATAAATAAAAGAAATCAGACTTCCCTATCTAAATATTTTTGGCATCTGAAGGAAATAAATAGGACACCTAAAGTAAAATGGAAAATTATAAACAGGACTAGAACATGTAAAACTTGGGATGACCCATGCCCTTTGTGCCTCCATGAGAAACTGCACATTATTAAGTTTCTAAATAATAATAATCTATTAAACAATAGACATGAGTTAACGGTTTTTTGCGGGCATCATCAAATTCATGGTTTGAATAATTAGCTAAAAACAAGCATACAATATAACTTTTATAATCCATAGCCCAAATAAATAGTTTAAATACACTACAAAAAAGATAACCCTTTATGAAGTCGTCAAAAAACAAATGTTACGGCAGTTTTTATATGCACAAATCCCGTTCATAAAGAAATAAAAAAAAATAAATAAATCTCCATAGACACGTAAACCAGACTAGGCGAAAACATCTTCCGTTTCAAATTTAGACACCCACACCTTACCCTGACTTGACATTCTATGAAAGTAACTCTATACTGATACTTATTATTAACACCCAACACCCCCCCACCCAATTTAAACAATTCGCCCAAGCTGTTACCATGGAAATTTTGATTTCAATTATGAATATACTATTAAAACACGTAAATTTCAGAAATAAGTTATTCCAAAAAAATTTTCGCTTGAAGATGGAACAGAGCTTACTTTAACTCAATTTAATTCAAATAATTATATTGAAGTTTTCGGCTCTTGTTTTGAAACATGAGACCTCTTATGTCGCGAGTTGGAATCATATTTTTAAATAAATAATTATATTTATGCTCTACTTTTGTATCGAGCACTATTTTAAAAAAATAATAACTAAAATACTAAGGAACTTTGGATTATTTACCTAACCAGTTCTTTCCTATTTTCTATATATTTTTACACACACACACACACACACACACACACACACACACACACACACACACACACACACACACATATATAAATGATATTGTTTGGTAATTCGTATGGATTCCAAAAGAGGAATCCAGAGAGCTCAATGTAAAAACGGAGCAAACATTAATTATGTATATATATAATAAATACAAAGATAAAGTTTGTCATTTAGTTGATTGGTGTTACCATTTCTGATCTGAAAAATAATCCCGAATTTATAGCTTCGTAGACAAAATCTCCAGCAATCACTCCGTTCACTCATCAGAGAGAGAGAGAGAGAGAGAGAGAGAGAGAGAGAGAGAGGAGTCCTGTCAGAAGATTATATTGTTTAAAACCAGGGATATCGATTTAAACACGTGTAACGTATATTATAGTACTAAGGTTGTATAATATATATTCAGAATACTCATGTTTTCTAATCCTAGGGAGAGAACTCTGGTATACTCTGATTGTCTTATACTGATAGCGTTTTATCACTTTTTGTTAATAAAATTGAAAAATCAACAAAGTAGTTATTAGTTAACAAAATTAATATTTTATATCATATTATTTTTCTGATAAAACTAAATCAGACAATTTATTAATTCAAAGACTTCTAATAACACTTTATATGTTCATTGAAAACATGGTAAAATCTCCACAAAATAAAAAGTTATTTCGATTTCCATTAACTATGTCAATACAGAAATATGAAAATGTACAAAAATTCTAATGTAAAATTTATTTATGTTATTTAGAATCGGAAGTATCTGTATGTGAAATAAAATTATATTTTTCACTTTGTTGCCAGATTTCCGAGCTGAATATTTTAAAGAGGTACATCTCAAAATATCTAATTTCTCTAATGTCGCGCCACGACGCTTTAGTAAATAATTACCACTTTTTAAAATTATTAACTAAATTTTTCATTCAATTATTTCTTTTTATATACATTTTGAATTATATATTTAGCTTGATTAATAAAACTTAAATGTGTCACAAAAGCTTTTCGAAAAAATTCAATTATAACTTGATTTCAATAAAATAAATTGTACTGAATTTATCTGTTATTAAATTGATTGTTTTAAAACAATTTTTTTAGAAAAATATGATAAACTGGAAAGGTTTTTTTGTGATGCGTTTCATCCGTTATGATTCCATCGGACTGTGACGTGGCCACATCACACATGCGCACAAAACGATAGAGGCAGGTAGCTTCAAAATTTTCAAAGGAATATTTTTTTTTATTTAACCAAATTCATCTTTTTTTTGTTGTCTTTTTCTTTCCATCATATTTGCCCCTGTCTATCACACACTGTGGCAATATAAAATCTACCAAGAATGGTGATATACAATTCTCTTTTAAGAACATTTAGCAGTAATAGCAACTCGTATTTACATACTAGTTGCAACTTCGTGAAATTTTTCTTCATCAAATCTAAATGTAATTCCTTACACTAATATCTATTTTTCACAGTCTCCTTGGTTTTTCCACGTTTCTTAGCATTGCTCACCAAGGGAAGCAGCAAAAATCCGTACTACATTCAATTTACACGGTTGGTTAAATTCACTGAAATGTTATTTTTTTTTTTTTATAGTACTTCGTACTTCTCTTTAACTACTTTATAGAATCACTATTTTTTTTAGGTGAATAACTGAACAATTTGTAAATATTTTAAAAACAAACTGTGATAGAAGCAAATTATATGAACATTGTATAAAAAATATAAAAGTAAAAACGTACGAAAGAAAAGAAAGATTCTTCTTTTATGAGCAGAATCAGGTGTTACATTAAAAATTCCAATACTTTGACTGAAGATCTAAAAAAGGCCAGGTTTTAGAAGAAAACTTTTGTTTATGACAACGTATTTCTTACTGGCAAGTAATTTCAAATAATAAACCTTTATCAGACTCAACTAAGATTATTAATATAGCTAAAAAGTAATAAAGATCGCTCACAAGAATATATAACGTAAGGGAAACAACTTACTTTAATGTGTAGAGTTATGCCCCTTTATATTTTCGTATATATATTTCTTTTTCTTTCAGACTAGCTCGTTGGCTGAAGTAAATTAATTCAATTATATCACTTAAATTCAAAATGTAGGACTATAGGCGGTTTTATCTTATTTTGTGAATAGAGACTTATCTCGTTTTATTACAAAATTATAAAGGGATTTCTTTATTTTGGTTAATTCAGTAACTGAGGATGGAAGGACACATCGTTTTGCAACTTAGTTGATCTCTCAAACTCACATAGGTATGTTTCGAAAATTAAGCTTAACAGGAGATACGATAATAGTTTAACTCGAACTTACTGGGAAAGTTGTTAAAAATACCTACTTCAAATACCCAATTATATCCCACAAAGTAATATTACCAGAATTCACAACACTAGTAACAGGCCCACGTGACTAAATATTGCTTTAGTTTTATTAACATTGTACCCATATATGGCATATCTAAATATTGCATTATAAATGATTATACTAATTGACTAAATATTTTTATGGTATATCTATGCGCGCGCGCGAACACACACACACACACACACACACACACACACACACACACACACACACACACACACACACACACACGTGCACGTATACACGCGCTCATACGCGTGTGTGTGCGTTTTTATTTATTTATTTAGGCAGCATAAACAGTCTTATTCCAACGGTCAGGGTCTCAATTTATTTGGAAAGAAACAATGCAATTATCAATAAGAAGAATTTAAATTAATTTACAAGCTCTAGTATCACTCCATCTTAGCCAGCCTGAACGTTTCAGTCCACACTCATATATGAATATTTCAGGGAATGATCTCACGACACTATGTGACAAAGTAGGCAATATAGCAGTAAGTGGTTGATGAATATACCTACGTGGACTACTCATACGTATATTAACACAAAAAACAAAACTTGATTTTATAAATTTTAAAATCAATTTCATGGAATCCGTACTCAGAAACATACCCAATGACAATGAGGACCAATAATAGGTCGAGGGAATGATTAAATTTGGTGTTGAAAAGTCATAATCCCGGAGGTTCTAAAAGAAAATATAAACTTATTCGGCAACGAAAAATTCAGTAGACATAAACGTTTTAGAAGAATTTCCGCTTCTGCTAGCGGTGACTTAAAAAGGAATTTTTTTCAATCTTTTACTTATTATCATCAACAAGGTGACATCCAAGGGCATAGGTGAAAGTTCAATAGACTTCTCTCTCTCTCTGTGTTAGTCCACTCTTTTTCACATTTATTCTCATAAACTTTTTATTTAAACGCGAACACATGAAAAGAATATTTATATCAATCTAAACCTTCTGTTCATCATCAAATTTTAAATTGCACCAACGTATTTTGAAGTTTTACCTGTAAATTGATTTGCGTGAACCATGGCAGAATTTAGCTCATGACCAAGTACGATTACTTCATAGACTTGTAGTGCAAAGTTTGGTGGATGCCATTTATTTAATGGTGTTGACGGCCCAAATCAATCCATACAAATTTTTACTCTACGAATATGTTAAACAAAATGCAAAAACAACAAGAAACATTTGTGATAAAAGACAAAAGGCAAATATTTGAATAACAAGTAATTTTCAATATATTTTTGTAATGAAAATATTTTACAAAAATGTAGTGGACATTTTAGGTGAAATCTTGTTAGTTTATTTTATGTTTAACTCAAGTTTGGTGAAAGATTAAATTTTGTTAATGAGTTTTGATTTGAAAGGATGTTTGTTAGAATCTGTTATTGAAGATTCAGTAAATTAATTGCAAGAGAAAAATTTACATTTAAGAATTTACTGTTCATGTAAGTAGTAAATGTTTGTAAAGTTGCAATTTTGAGATCAAAGAAATTATCTACCTTTGATTGTTTTTTGTAATATAATGTTCTCGAATGTTGAGAAATAAAGTTGGTTTGTTAGCAGGATTTTGTTTAACTTCTGCGTAAGGAATTTGGTGAGTGAATGGGAATAAAATTCACTAGTGAGCTTTGGTGAATGCGTATGAATATTGTTAAGTTGTATAATGTTCGTATGAACTAAAAACTTAAGATTGTGTGATGTGAAGTTTAGTTGCAATTTGTTTGATGTCACATTTCTCACTGGCAAGTGTGAATGAGTTTCTGTATTTATTTACTTTGGGTGGCTCACATAGACTTGGTGCGAACTTGGATTTCAGTCACGAGCTGTAAAATTAGGTAACCATAGGTGAATAGTCATGCCTACTTGTACATTTATTAACCAATGAGTGCTCGAGATTTTTTTGAAAGTGTATGAAGTTGGAAGTGTTCTGTGATCCACTTTTTGCACAGATTTGACCAAACTATTTTGTATATTGGAATAATGTAGAATTTGGGTTCTACAGACTCAATTCCACGTTGAGAACATGTTTATGTCTGAATATCTTGTTGCTGATAACGTCTCTTGTGGCTCATTCGACCTGCAACGGGCTTGCATGTCACACCATATTTATTGCATGTCAGTTTTCCTACGGCAGCTTGGGTTTCTGGATGCTGATGTTTATAGTATCGATTTTCTATGACGTCATTTGTGGCTAGTGAAACTTGAACCACACTCATACATACACGCACAAAAACACAACGTATACAAATGAATAAGTATAAAATTATCGGTATCATTATTCTGTTGCTACATGTATGCGTTGAATTAACTAATTTGAAATGGTTGAAATTTTATATTTGATTTTATTGATGAACTCATGGTTAAATTAAAGGGGCCTCCAATTAAATAATAACATGGGGCTCCCTTCTCTTAACGAAAGTTTATGTTAAAAATGTCCTGAAAAAGTAACGAAAATAAAGTTTAGAGGATATAACTCGTATATTTTACGGCCAATAAATGAAACAGAAAACAAGAGACAAATAAATCCTACTAAAATCAGTAGATACGAAAAAACTGTACAGTTCTGTACAAAACAGCTCCAAAATAAAATAATTGGTTTCTTTAATCTGATTGGATATGACAACTCACGTGATGTGCTCTCTACGACATCTGTGCGGTTGAACACTAAATGACCAAAAATAGGTCAGGGTTTGGGTTAGGAAGTATGTTCCCGCCAAAAATCAGATAGATTTCGTGAGACGATTGACACCTCGCCACAAGCCATAAAAATGGGTGATCAGCGACAGTCGGCGGACAGATCTAAAACGGAATAGTCAGTGGAGAAATCTGAAACAGAACACCCAGAACCATATCTATAACCCCATAGTCGGTGAAAGACAGTCAGCAAATCCGAACAGCCTCGACACACGTTACTATGATTAGGAGTCAGTCAGCAACGATCATTCTACCTACAACGCCACGACGAATGTAAATTTTGTCTCAGCTTCACTTTGTTCATTGTATTTTATTAGCGTATGCTTCACTCATACATATTGGCAACATATCATTTCGAATTTTGCATGCTCACTTGCAACAAAATAACCTGAATTTTCACATTCCTCACAGCAAAATAACCTCTTTGTAGACTCACTTGCAACAAAATAACCTTGAACTTTGCAGACTCACTTGCAGCAAATCACATCGAACTATTGGTCTCTTCATGGCCACTAATATATATATATATATATATATATATATATATATATATATATATATATATATATGTATCTACTGTATAAATGTTATTGTCACATTTAGCTTGGTCTTCTTTTTTGCGTATATTATTTCTTCAAGTTATTTATAATTTTGCTTTGTAATTTGTGGACGTGACACTCGGATGTTATTTTCCACCTAAAATCCGGGATTGCGGCCCTACAACAAAATGGTGACCACCGACGAAGAACAGCCTAAAAAGTAATGCTTATCCTTCTGCGGGATGTTTTATAGGATATAAACTCCTATATTTTACGGCCAATGAGTGAAACACAAAACAAGTAAGGCTGGGCATGTTTCCAAGGTGGAGAATCATCACCTGCCTAAAATTTTATTGTACAGCGAGCTCTCCACAGGCAGAGGGGCACCAAAGAAGCGTTTCAAAGATTGCCTGAAAAAATCCTTTGTTGTCTGTCACATTAAACATTGCCAATGGTCAACCCTAGCTGAGAACCGTAACTCTTGGCGTCTCACCAGCAACGATGCTGTCTCCTTCTTTGAAAATACCTGCAGGTCCGCTCTCCCACGGACAAGAGGCAGAGGAGGAAGTACTGCAATGTTATGACATTGAACTCAGGCTAAACTTTTAGCTGCAACTACTGCGGCAGTGTATGCCAGTCCCGTATTGGATTTGTCAGTCATAAACGTGCCTGCAAGCGACATGTACAGACTCTCTCTTGATCTTCGTTTTGAGAAGTTAAGCCATGATGATGATCTACTGTATAAATGTTATTGTCATATTTTACTTGGTCTTCCTTTTCTGTGAAAATCATTTCTTCGCGTTGTTTATAATATTGTATTTTAATTTGTGAACATGATGCTCAAATTTTATTTTCCCACCTAAAATCCATGTAGACTGCATCAACATATTTAAGAAATATATATTCTATAAAAAGTATGAATTACATAAAAACAACATTTATTGACAGCATTTTTTTTTATTTTCTTTTAAATAAAGCAAAAAAACATTTACAATAATAAAGTAAAAGTCATGAAAAACATTGTATTTTTAAATTTAATTTTTTTAGCCTCTTGATTTTGTCCAAGGGCAGAATACAGCGGCTTCTCTTTTTCAAACAACAGGTCCTACTAACATCATTTCGGGGTTCATCCACCCCACTTTCATGATTATCCATCCGATTTGTATATACTTATTGTAAATAATATTTATCATCTCAGTGGGATGATTTTTATAGCCCACTCCACCACCAACCCTGAGAAGATGTGGTGTTATGGTGTATGGGAGATTGATTAGTAACAGATGAGTTCTTATGGTGAATGAGGAAATTGTAACGAGTGAATGGGTGGTGAATCCGATTAGCTAGGTATAAGATAGATAGTGAAGACCAGCCTCCACCCATACCCGCTTTTCGGCCTTATGCCATAATTGTATTAATTTACAATAAATATATATTGTATTTTTAAAATATTTTGTTTTTCGTTTTAATGTTTTACTTTTCACTTATGTATTCATGTGTCTAGGTAGATAGGTATTTACTAAGTTTATCCTCATATGACGCAAATACAAATTAATGGTGCACCACGTGAATTTATTAGACAACTAATGATTTTTGATCTTACGAAGCGTCGCTGTTGTGTTTGTTTTCACTGGCATTCCTATATGTAACTGTTAGGTTATTCTAAGGGAAGCAACTGAAATCAGATATGATTTCTTGCATAGCATAAATGATTTTACTTTTTTTATGACGTGATCTTTTTACCGATTTGTTTGGAGATGTTCCTTTTCCTATGCGTGTTAACGCATATGCGTATTTTTTGTACGTCTGCTTGTAGTTTCTATGCTCTGTAAAACAGGAGAAAGATCTTAATCAAAGTCGTTACTGGTCGAATCCGAAGACATCATTATTTTGGTTCATCTCTTTCGGAATTGGAAAAGGGTCATCAGTATGTTTTTGATTTTCAAGGAAATGAAGTGGGCTTTCCTTGTTTGTTGAAATTTCTTTTTCACCAAAACGTTTGTAAAAACATCCAATTCTTATACCATAGTGAAAAAAATGATAATGTACGTGGAAAGAGAGACATGCATGGACACTGTGCGAGGAAATATATAATTTATATATGTTGAAGCAAATGTGCAAGTGACCTCTCCTCAAGCATACTTGGTACCTGTGATGAGATACTGAAAAAAAAAAAAAAAAAAAAAAAAAAGAATCAAATTAATTATGTGAAATTGGTTAAACAAAAAACATAGAAACAGTTTTTGTAATTCACCAAATAATTCAAACATCTAGACACATGATTCCTCTTCATAATGTTGAAGATGAAATTCACTTTCAAGTTGAAATTAAAAAGCAATAATTTCGGGTATTTATTTAAACTAAATAAAATATAGTTAACAAAAGGAAACGAAACAGTCGTCAATAAAATAGAATTTCATCATCATTATCACCATCATTAATTTTTGAATATTTATTTTTCATCTTTTGTCGCTTTCATCGCAATACTCGGTTTGTTTTTACGTTGCCAAAAACAAATAAAACAAAAAAGAAAGATTAATAAAAAAATGAAAGTAATGACAAAACTTCTTTCAGGACATTTGGACAACTTAAGATTTTCCTCTTGTAGGCTGAATACGTGTAAATCACTGTGATGGCTATATAAACAGCTGTGAATTGGGTTGAAATAATGTCTGCTGTCAAAATGACTATTAACACTACTCTGATAAAAAAGTAAATAACTTAGAAAAAAAATATTAATGGTGAAAGGTAAAAATATTTTCGTAATAGATTCCTTAAAAACGTTAATATAAATATGCTGTTTTTAGAAATTTTTGTTGCTTTCTTGTAGTTTTTTTTTTTTTTCGTTCTGTTAGTATTACGTTGGTACTACTGAGTTGACGTCAACCGGACACAAAATTTGAAATTTAACAATAATGATCAACTTATTTTCACACTTCTACTTAATACCGGGTTTTAAACGTTATACTAGACAGAATATTATTAAAATTTGAATTGATACTTACTGAGAGTATGCCGCCATAATGTATGTCCGTTAAGTCGAAGAGTAATTTTCATATATCTTGGTAGGTAAATATAAGCACTGAGACAGACTGAAATAAAAACAAAATGTACATACTGAGATTAATATTCAAATATTTTTTCTGTTTATTCACTAAGATTAAAAGGAATATGTGACTATTATGTAAATAAAATAAACCCTTTTCCTATCATGCAAAAAAAAAAAAAAGAAAAAAAAAAGAAAAAAAAGAAAAGAAAAGAAAAAGCAGCAAATTGCAAGAACGCGTGTCTTTGCTAGGATTGGACATCAACGTGTGACAGCGTTTACTTGAATCCGGACATGAAATCAACGTCTCTCTCTGTGTCTGTGCATTATAGACACTCTATGTGTCAGAGAACTACTTTACCTCGACCACAAATACATTTTTCATGTGCCCAGTAAACAAATATGTTTACCCTTTTTTCTCTATTAGTGTTATTATCTCATTTCTTTCTGTTTGCACGACTCTTAGCGTGTGCAATTTGAGCAGCGCTGATTATCATATCATTATATTTCCTAATACACAGATTAAAAGTATCAGAGTCACTAGTGCAAGTGTCTTGAATAAGAGAACTATTACGAATCTGTCTGAATGAAATCTCTACATAAGGCTACTCTTGATTGACAATATTTACTTGCAAGAGTGAAAACGTGATTAGTGCATATGATGGTAGGGTACTAAAACTATGTATAATATAATAAAGCTCTGCCATTGCATAGAGCAGTCTTTTTTTCCTACGTGAAACCTTAGTAGACTCTTTTTGAGAGCTGCTTATTTTTATTATTATAATGCTATATAATAGGTACGGTGGAATAATAGATAGCGGATCGGATTGAGGAATCGGAGAGCCGAGTTCGAATTACAGTCAGAGTCATTACATTCCACTCACCTTGGGAAAGGTATGAATCCTCTTCTTCCCTCCCACCTATGGGTAAATAGCAGAACAGACCGGGTTCTATAGCCTTTGAGGGCAACTGGTCTACTGCAGAAAGAAATGGCAACCTACTGTGGGGAAAAATCTATAATCCTCATGTATCGAAAGATACATGAGCGCTTAAGCGTGTATCACGCATGGCACATAACTCAACAATAGGTGACTTTAAGGGTCCTGTATTGTCGAGCACTTTTTGCTTAAGAGCAGTAAGCTCTTTTATCATGGTCCCATTGTTTCCCATGACATCAGGTACTCTTGTCACTCTGGTGAATAATTTATGGTGTTTTTTTTTTGTTTTTGTTTTTCTTATTAAATGTGAATTTATAGCTTTTTATCTTGGGTCTCGTCCCAGTGATGTTTGATGGCGTGTGCATGATATGCACGCACCGGTTACACTGTTAACATCTTGAATTTCCTCGAGGGTATAAAAGGTTCCCAATTTCACACAATACAGTTAGTAACCATCTAATGATTGCGTAAATGCATAAGAAAACTGGCAGTCGTGGCCGGTCACTGCCCACTAGAAATTTGATTTAAAATATAATAAAGCTCTACCATTTGATATGGCGTCGAACACCTTTTCTTGTGTGCAACCTTTGCTACCACTTTTAAGAACGGCTTATTTTCATTTTATATATTTATATTCTGTTTCGTTGCGCTAATGACCTCGGAAAAGACATGAAACTATTTTCCTCCGTTTAAGGGTTACATAGCAGGGTAAAATAGACTCTCTTGCTAGCCGTCGGTCTAGGCGAAGAAAAACTTTCACTGTCTTTCCGGACTATGTCTTGTTTAAGTACATGTACTGTTCTTAGGTTTTGAATTTATTTCGAAGAGATTAAACCCAGTGACAGTAATACCGCAGCTATTCAGAGATTTCTTGGCGCATTGTGTAGCATTTCTTTGTTATCGGTTTTTGTGAAAAATGTGGCTGGTTCTACAAATGTTGGTTCTACAATGTTCGGGTAGTTATAGCGTTATTTCTAATCAAATGAAGCGAAAGAACTAAACAAACAAGTAAAACAAACATATAAAACATTTCAGTAAAACATTGTTTTCTGATAAAATTTCTCAACTCTTCAAGATTAAAACTGATATTGCATACCCTGAATCCATATTCACAGCAATTTTGATTTGGGTAGCAGAATATTTTCAGTAAGAGCTACTTGTGTAAATTAAAAAAAAATGTTGTCAGACGAAACATACTAAAGAAAATGCTTTTGTTGTCTTGCCTTCGTTATTATCTTTCCTTCTCCGAGGCACTCCGGGTATCCATGGTAGTATAGTAACAGCAACACACGCACGCACGCACGCACACGTGCTATTTAAAAAGGAAGCACAATTTTATATATTGCAAGAAGCATTAAGTCTTACCATTCAACATAATTCTAGTTCTGAAAATTCTAAATCTTTTACAGCAACGACCATAACGACCTCGCCAGTAACAATATATTCTGCTATTGGCATTTTCGTCATCTTCGCCAGTTGAAATTTCATCACTTAGGGGATCTTCTTCCTCTTCAGTCTCAATGGAAGACTCTTCATTAGGTACCTCCAGTTTGTCGCTGAAAAACAGTATAGCATGATGAAAAAAGGCCCAAAACTTAATAAAAACAAAGTTTTATTGTCAAATTATTTATGCTATTATTAAGAGGAAAGACCAAAGTATTTTTTATTGTTTTTATTTAATTTTTTAATACTTTAGAGTAATTTATATTTTCCCTCAAATAATGTATCGCAAATTTATAGCAATTTATATTTTTCCTCAAATAACGTATCACAAATTTTATTTTATTTTTGGAAGATTTTTAAAACCTATAAATAACTTTTGTTTACAAATCTATCAAAGTGTCTGATATTTATAGATTTTTATCGATTTTCTGTAAGCGAGCAAAAAGTTGAGATTCAAATCAATATAATTTCTATTTGAAATACACCAGTGTATTTTGCTTACTGGAAATAATAAATTTAATCATTTAGCTATCAATTAAAGCTAAAAAGAAATTTTCAAGAATGTTTTTCATTAAAAAAAATCATTTTAAACCATAGGTATCGAAAATTTAGTGGAGGTACGTACTCTTCATCATGAATTTTAATTTCCGGGATAAGGTCCTTCAGATCCATATTCTCATCGGATTCAGTCTTTTCTTGTATCGCTTCAGAGAAAACATGAAGAATATTTTCGAGATTGTCTTTGAAATCTATTAAAAAATGTAAAGATAAAGAAAACTTAAATGGGCAATACTATATATATATATTGTCTTTTCCAATATAAGCACACACAGACACTAATAGACACTTTAGTGTCCATGATAAGAATCAACAGCTGCTAACGTATAAGAGCTGCATTCATATACACATGATTGACTAAAAAGTTTATTGCACCAAAATTCATTTTCTCTCATATTTTGGCCGTTGAAAAATGGTTACGCATGAAATAACGCAGAAAACAAAGCAAGCATGCTCACATGAACGCTAGCATGCACAGACACGCGCGCACACACACACACACACACACATACTAAAACAAAAGCAAAACCAATGAAAACTAACAAGGAAAAACAAAACATACACATACATGAATAAAACACACACATAAAGAAAAACAAAACCACCACAAAACAAAACGTACACAAAAACACTAAACAAAGACAAAACACAGAAACACAAAACAAAATAAAACACATGCCAAAACGACGCACACACACAAACACAAAACAAAAGAAACACAAACAAAACAATACAACATACACACGCAAAACGACGCACACGCACGCTCGCACATGCACATACAACACACAAATAGAATAAAACAAAATTGAAACACAAAAAATCAAAATAAAATACGTACAAAAACAAAATTGGAAAATATATATATATATATATATATATATATATATATATATATGTGTGTGTGTGTGTGTGTGTGTGTGTGTGTGTGTGTGTGTGTGTGTGGTGCGTGTGTGTGTGTATATTCAGATATAAGTTAAGAACGAATCGAGTATAATTCCACTGTCCGTAGCATTTAATTCAATACAAAGGGCTCAATGCAGAGTAGAGCTTTATATTATTTATAAAAGGAGACTAAAGAAGAGGCGATGATAGAATAACTAATGAGAAAACGGTTATCTTTCTTAGTGCTGAAACACGAAAGCTATTGTGTAGTGATTTTAAACATGTTTTTTAATCTCTTATATATATATATATATATATATATATATATATATATATAATATAAATCCAAAGGCAGCTCAATGTAAGAACAGAGCAATATAATAATATAATAATGTTAAATCTAATAGACAAACTCTTCAATCATAACAATCCTTTAGGAAAAAAATTAATGGAAAAAGTCTAAAAATTAGTTATTCCTATACTAGTAATATACACAGTATAATTAATTCACGCAATCACCTTTTATTAAATAAATTTTATGACAGTGAAACACAAGAAAAGAAACCTCCTTGTAATTGTGTAACCGGAATTAACTGCCCTGTTGGGAGTATATATACTGAAAATATAGTATACTAATATTTTTCCGAAGAAAAATATCAGTCAGAAGAAGGTATACATAGGGATATCAGCTGGAAGCAAAGATTTTACAATCACCGGTATTCCTTCACCAATGCGTCTTTAAGATATCAAACGGCTCTATCTAAATATTACTGAAATCTTAAAGATAAAATGGAGGATCATTTGTCAATCACAAACTCCCAACAACTTCAGGGACAGTAAAATCTATGCATTAAAGAAAACTCATAATGATAAAAAATATTGATGAATTATTGAACTAACGAAATGAAATGTAGATATAAGAACCGTTTTAAAATTCCTTAATAACATTAATTTTGGAGAGTTTTATAGTTGAAGTTTTGGATATTTTTTATGGGTACTAACATGTATGCATACATACATTCACAGTGTTTTAATATATATGATCATTTTCTTGCCTACATCGGTTATAATCTCAAATTATGAATTAATTTTGTTTTCTTTATTTGTAATTTTAATTTTATTATTATTATTATTGACATATGTATGGATATGTATGTATTTGGATATTTATGTGCATATGCATATATATATATATATATATATATATATATATATATATATATATATATATATATGTGTGTGTGTGTGTGTTTGCATATGTGCATATATATTGCATTTTAAGTTTTTAATTATTTGAAATGGTCCTTTCCTTTTCTTTTATGATTTTAATCAAGATTTTTGTAGGTTTTTTAAATTAAATTTTTTTTAAAGAATTTCATTTTTTAAATTTACATTATTCCTTTTAATATTTATTATTATTATTATTATTATTATTATCATTATTATTATTATTATTATTAACAGTTTGTGACACTTATAATGCAATGAAAATGGTTTCGCTGCTTAAAATGAACAGACTATTTCAATATATCTATTTTGAATATGATCACTCCCCACCCAGCCTCACCTTATTTTTTAAATTGTCAAATTCCGGAAGAAAATAAAATAAAATTCTGTGTCACTCTGTCGAGTTGCTCAATTCCGTTCTTCCCCTCTCTCACTCTCTTTCTTTTTCCCCTTCTCATGTCTGTCTTTATTTCGCTTCCCTCTATAAAACCTTATATTGAAATCTCCGTATTTCTCCCATTTTTCTTTCTCCTTTTAATACTAAATCTTTTTCTTTTTCTTTCTCTTTTTTCTCTTTTTTCTTTTCCTTGTGTCTGAATAAATTGAACACCATTTATTTTGTAAAACTGGTCTGAAGAGATGGACGTCTGAAGTTCACGAAAGAAATTATCAACTGACCGAATGGATTTTCAAGGATCAATATATATATATATATATATATATATATATATATATATATATATATATATATATATATATTGTGTGTGTATTTAGGCAGCATCTTTTCATTCATACGCGTTTCATTAAATAATATAGACAACACTTGCCTATATTATTTAATGAATGTATGAATATATATATATATATATATATATATATATATATATATATATATATATATGTTCATATATATATATATATCCTTAATCCTTTAAAATTAAATTAACAATTACTTATCCTTTATGTTCATATGTTAATACTGGTTGGTTTAATTGCGAGATTTAATGTCATGAGAAATATAATTATTTTATAAGTTTTTGAAAAAGATTATATCACTATAGTGCATAACTACTCCAGCATTACGATAAACTGATATATATATATATTTTTTTTTTTAAGCATTACACCCCAAGCAAGACGGGAAGCCACTAGAACGCAAGGGGTTACAGAAAGATTTAGAGCAAGATCAGATAGGAGTGATAGAAGAAAGAATGAGGGTAGTGGATAGATCAAGACAACTGGAGATGTCGTTTGACATTACACTTGAATAGCTGGAGATTATAGCTCACAGGGAAACAGGAGAATGGAAGGGAGTTCCACAGGCGAGAGGTGCGAGACATGAAGCTATTAGAGTAGAAGAGACGGCTACATTTAGGAGTTTCGACAGTGAAGGGGCGAGAGCGGGATGCCAGCCTCGTAGGGCGCTGGAACTCATGACGTCTGGGAACCAGCGAATGCAGCTCCTCGGAGCAATTTTCATGAAAGTATTTGTAGAACAGACAGAGGGAGGCGACGGCGCGTCTGTGAGAAAGTGACTGTAGACAAGACGCCAGGGCAGAGCCAACCACATTGCATATCCGCCTCTGGAGCCTATCAAGAACCCCGAGGCAAACAGAAGGGGCACCAGACCATATATGGCAGCAATACTCCATGCAAGGGCGAATTGTGGATTTGTAGATCTGGAGGATCGACTCCGGGGAGAAAAACTTCCTAGCGCGGCTCAGGGAGCCAACTTTCCTTGCAGTGGACGAGGCAATTGACTCGATGTATTTATTCCATCTCAGGTCAGCAGTCAACGTGAGACCGAGAAGCCGCAGAGAGTTGCTCTCGAGAAGTTGAGCGTCAGACATTCTAATGGAGGGAAGGGAAGGCTCTCTGTGGTGATTAATAGAGAGCAGTTTTGTCTTAGAAGCGTTGACCAGCCAATTCATGCCCCAGTTCACAATCGATTGGAGGTCCTTTTCGAGACGCTCGGCCAGGTGAGTTTTGTCAGCGAGACTAGATTTGTTTTTGAGGCAGGAATAAATTGTCGTGTCATCCGCGTAGATGCCAACTTGGAAAGTTATGGCGTCAGGAAGGTCATTTATGTAGATAAGGAATAGAGTGGGGCCTAGGATGGAGCCTTGAGGAACCCCTGCGTTCGTGGGATAGGAACTGGAGGAGAATCCGTTGAGAACGACCTTCAATTCACGGTTTGACAGGAATGATTGTATTAGGTTATATAATCGATCGAAATGCCATAACCGGGGAGCTTGCGAAGAAGGCCGGCATGCCAAACCCTATCAAATGATTTGGAGATGTCTAGTTCCACGGCTCGGGCTTCCCCGTTATTTTGGAGACCTCGGTAGACTGTTTCAGTGATGGCTGTAAGCACATCGGCTGTAGATCGGGCAAAGCGCAAACCATATTGCTTGTCTGAGAGCAGATTATGGGATGTGAGGTG